ATATATATATATTTTAATTCTGCATCTAAACTCTTCTTGAGAATAAAAAAAACACTCATTCTAAAATCTAAATGTAATTCATTCAAATACTATGCCAGACCTGGCTAAACATGGTGATTTCTAAAAACGTTACATAATCTCGTGATATCTTCTAGCTTGTTATCTACTAATTAAAAATTAAAGTATCACAAATAGCAGCTCACTTCTACTCTTAGATTTATACAACTTAATCAGACAATCTCGTTACTCTTAGTGCTAAGAAATTAAAAACCATCTTTGATTCCCACTGAAGGTTTTTATTTGTTCTAGAGAAAGTGACTATTCTGCTTTTAAGAGATGAGTGGTAAAAATAAAAGGAAAATCCCAAACCTTTTGTAGTTCTGTTGATGTGACCGATGTACTGTGGGCCAAAGCAGCCTTTTGTTTGACCTTTGGTATCCCAGTATGTCATCAAGTGAATAGGGTCATATTTTTGAGTCTTGGAGAAAACAGTCTCAAGCTGCCTGCTTCTTAACCAACAGAACAGGCTAATTTTTTAAAGCAGCCCCCAAACTGGAAACAATTGCTCAAGCCTAGCTTCTCAGTAATCTGAATAAGGAGCTCAAAGCATCAACTTCTTGCCTCAAGCAAGTTTCCTGCTCTAGGAAACTCCATGTGCCAGTGAGCAGCCTACACCCAGCAGGACCTATTGGCTAAACATGCTTCTCTTCATAGATCAGCGTTCTACTTATCCATCTGGGTTTGTTTTTCTTTGGAAAAGCGTATGGAAAAAGAGTGTTTCTAGCTACCCTCTGATTTTAAAATATTAGTGCTATAAGCAGAGGTGTGGTCAAATTTAATAAAATTTTTTAACTTCTCTTTTACCCAGGTCCTTCTCCACCCCATCTTGTATCTTGTTGCCATGTCCTAACCCAAAGAAGCAATCCTCACTTATTGCCAGCTTTTAATCCTTTTTGGGCTACAGCAGAATAAAGGGGGAAGGAATGCACCTGCAGACGGCAACTACTGCCAAACATCAGATCGTGCCATGTAAGGGGCCCTTCTGCCCTTTTCAATGAATTTAGATGCGTGAGGGAAGTTCAAGGCCTGTCCTACACACCACGGAGAACCTAGAACACCATTCCCAAAGAAAGTGCAATTTTATCTTTTCTTAAAGGGGCTGTAGATAAAAGGTTCCAAGGTGAACACCCATGCACTGATCTAGCTGGTCACACCCTTCTCCCACCCCTTTGTCCCCGGAGAGCAGTGCTTCCAGAGGGTGCCCGCGTTAGAATCACACTAGGCTTTTGCTAAAAATGTTGATTCCTGGTTTCCACTCCCCACCTGATGAATGAGATGCTAGAGGAAGAACGGGCATTTTTATCAAGCTCTCCACGTGATTCTTATATTTATTAAGGCATGGCAACATGGCTCTAAATCATTTACATATCACCTTTGCTATGTAATCAAACGTACCCTCTTGGGTTCAACCATTGGGAAGAGGAGAGTAAGGAAATTTTGTAAAATGAATTCAAGTCCTTTCTCTGACACCTACTGCCATGACCACAAATAAGAAAATCTCATATTTCAGCAGGCTCTTGGTTTTCCTAAGGGTAAAATTCTCCAGTGGAAATAACAGTAACCACTAAATATGAGAACTTACGATACACTATGCTGTGCACTGGATGCCCTCTCCCATGCCATCCTCAAAACAACTCAAACGAGGAAACAGGCTCAGAGGAGTGAAGTCACTCATCAAAGCTGTACATTTATCAGTGGTGACGGTCAGACCCCACAGCCTTTGCACTTGATCATTACATTATTAGAATGGTCATCATTTCAAACATACTGTTGGTCTTTGAGAGGAGAACTGAACTAGCATTTCTACAGAGAAACATTTCATCTCTGAAAGTACAGAAACGTAATCAACCACTTAACACTACACTCTGCCAAGGGCAATGGTGAGCGAAGTGGACGACCACGGGTGCATCAGTTGAAAGAATTAGCACGGCAGTTTTAAGGTCTCTGCCAACAAAAGGAGATGTTTAGTTTCTCTCAGAGCTATAATGGCAGAAAGAGGTGTGTACTTTCTACAGCCTCAAATTTCTTCCTTAACGGTTTCTACATTCTAGCTGCTTACAGTAACTCCAATCTTTAAATACAGCCTGCCAGATTGCTACTGTGGGTCTGACAATGAAATTCACAGGAGATTGTTCTTTTTTAGTATTTCAATAGTTATTTTCTTTTTCACTTAGAAAGCCAAAGAAAAAAACTCGCATGTTTGCTTTTACCCTTCATCAACAGTCTGATTTTTACAAAGAAAGCAGGTGGAGAAAAGAAGATCGATCTACAAATGCCAGTTATTAGACTAACAATTATGAAACCCTTAACCGGTATTTGTTTTTCAATCTCCAGTGTTCTGGTTGAACACTGTGATTCTTGGATTAATCATTTTCATCCATGTTTGGGTTTGCACAGTCTCCCTACTGTTATGTGTGCATGCATTGTGCTCTAACTCCACCCTCACTTGGCAAAAGGCTTATACCAAATCTGATACTCTCAAACTGAAAAGGCCTTGCTGAGTGAGTCACGGGTAGCCTGGCTGGGAAGTGTGGAATTCTGGATTCCTTCTCCACGTGGTGCAGATGCCAGCTTCCCAGTCTCACTCTGAGCAATGCAGCCAACATCTGGGAAACATAAAATCTTGGAGCTCTTGTTTGTGGCACTTCCTGCTGTGTTCCTGGCACATCTGAACACACTGAGTTTTTCACTCATATCTGAAAACTTGTTTTTGTTGAATATTTGCCTTTTTCCCTTATGGTGGGCTTGCTAGTGATACTCTTGGATAAAGGGTTTATTTATACATTTCATGGTATATTAAATCTGTCCTTTGCTTAATCTCAGCCCTGCTCCAGCATTTATAACTCTCCCCCTAACAAAAACACATTTATCGAAATGTATATCTCCATAACAGCTGATCAATAACTTTGAGAGAAGGTACATAAAAGACCATAATATATTAGACTGCATCAATTTTATGGCAATATGTTTACAAGGATATAAATTAAAACAAATCCCCATTAATGATTTTCCTTATGTAAATAAAGAATGAGAGGGGAGAGATGATTGTTCTCTTTTGCTGAGAGAACACACAGGAAGAATGGGTAGGACATGACTCTACAAACCTCAAAAGTAGTTGTCATTGTGGGCTTATAGGACACATGATTGGCCCTTCTCAGCTCCTTGATAGTTTCAGCTGGCATAGATTTAGAAAACCCGAGGCCACTCCAGGTATTTGTAGGTGTCCTGACCTCCGTCACCACTGGTTTCTTTAACATAGCTTTGGAAAACAGAATATATATAAAAAAAAATGCTTGATATTTTTAATGTTTCTTAAAAAATTATTGAGTGTTTCTTTGATATATGTAAAGGAAAAAATCACTGAATATTACTTCTTAACATAAAATGCCTTATAGTATCTTCATAAAACATTTTATACAAAGTAATGGTAAATTTTACAATGCTACATTATTTCTTAATTGAACTAATGCTAATATATTCAACAAAATATATTGGACCTCAACAAAATTTGTGCAACTCACACCCTAAACATTCTTAGTTTCTTGTTATGATGTCCAATTTCACAATTCAATATGAATACTGAAAAACCTTTTATCCAGTCTACTGAAAAAAAATCAAAGTATAGATCATTAACATATCACTTACCTTTGGTTGCTAATAGCTTCTTTTGTTCATAGTCAAATGCCTGAAAATGAAACAGAGAGAAAATATCTTTATTGCCAGTCTTTTCAAATGTCATGCCAATACTCCATGATTACAGAAGAAAGGTTTTAACTATAGCCCAAGAATCTCCTTGGGACACATGGAAAGCTTTGCACCATAATATGCCATTAATTTTCTGAAGTCTGATAAATTTAAACATGTTTACAAAACTAATTAATTAGAAAAATAAATTACTGATTCTGACTTTGTCATGACAGTGATAGTTAGAAATTTTCCCTCAAAAGGAAAAAAAAGTTCCTATTTACTATGAATATGCAACATATCAGGACAAATAGATGCTAGAGTACAGTGAATAATCTAATAATAGTTATGCTTTCAAAATAATGCATTTCCAAAACGCTTTCAGGTTATCTACTGACCTCTTTGTTTCTAAAAACCTCCTCTTCATTTAAGTAAAGCATGCCCTGAAGTGGTATAATGTGGAAACAACTTAAGAAATTATTTAGCCTAACTGGAATAGTCTGCTTTTGAAAGGAGATAAATGGCAAATGTCTAGCTTTAAGCCATAATAACAGTCAGCAATACAATAAAATTAAACCTAGTTACTTTGTATTGCACAGGACTAAGATGGCATTATTCATTCTTTCCACTCACATTGAATAAGCGACTTATGACACAGTCAGGTATACACAGAAGTAGACCTGTGTAGGTAGGTCATTTTGAGGAAAGTAGTCTAGATATAACTACATCTCAGATGCTAACCCAGTGTTCTCAACTCCCCAATTTAGAGACTAGCTAAGACTTGATTTAAGAATGCCTCGAAGGCCTACCAGGAGGGTCAAGAACAAATTGGCAAGAGCTCTTTTGCCCAGGAGGACTATACCCCTACATGTAGAGAAGGCACCCAGGTAATTTACAATCTGAAACAAGATACTTTGGAAATGTGTACAAATAATAATTAGGTCAGGATACTAAGTGAAGACGCTAACTCTGACAAACCATGATGTGTGTTTATAACACTAAGAACACGTCAGTAAATCCGAAGAGCCAATTTTTTAAAATTACACAGTTTGATGATGTTTTTGAAATCCTAGGTCTAAAATGGCATTCAAAATTAAAATCAACTTTTAATGATTAATGGCTAAGGGCAAGGTGTGGGGAGATCCTAAATTCACTTGTTCAATAAATATTTATTGAGTCCCTCTGGTTAAAGAGACTGTGCAGCACTTTGTGGAAGAATAAATTAATTAAAAATAATCTGTAGCCTCCAAGCCATGCAGTCTTAGCAAGGATGGATAAAAGAAATAACTACAAAAAAATACCTACTAGGAAGGGAGATAAGTGTGAAAAGAGGAGCTGAAGATATAGCACTCCACAAACAGTCAGGAGACAGAGAGAGTTTTTAGCAGAAGGAACCAGGGAGGTCTTCAGTCTTTCTCCCTGTCAATACTCAGTGACTATTATCATTGGTTTCTTAATGATTTTAGGAGTCAGCTCTTTATAAACAGCATAAATACATGTGTTTAAGTTGAAACTATATCACCAAGAACACTTATCTATCCTAAAATAAAGAAACATGAAAATGGTTCACTATAGGTATAAACCTGATGGAAAAGAGAACCACAAGGTGGATTAAAACCATAAAGGGATCATAAAGCGGATGTGATACTCCTTACATGAGAAAATTTTAATTTATATTAACTGAAAATAAATCCACCAGAGAAAATGTAACAAATGTCATTTTTTTTTTTTTAACTTTGACACTTTATAAAAAGGCCATGGCTTTTGTAAAAACATTCATCTGAAAACTCATGGAAATGTTCAAATGCAAAAACATCAAAAAACAGACAAGCAGGATTTAACCAGTTTTCATTGGAATTATAGGAATATAATTTAGTTCCACGAATTAATTCCTTTGACATATCTGTGACAGCTTTTTCATTTCTAGGATTTTGTGAAAAATTTTCTCTTCCTTTTTTTGGAGGTAGGGAGGATGGGGATAATAAGTCTCCTACTATGAAGTACTTAAGTCTACCCAGTAATTCTGATACTGAAAGCAAATGTTTATAGGACTCTAAAAGCACAAATCACAAAATCCTTATCCTTTATATTGTGATCCATATGAAATGAGATTTCTGAATTTCATGGTCAATAGCCTGTTTTGAGTAATTAGTCTAATAGTTTGAAAATGGATACAGAGACAATCCCTACTGAAGAAATTGTGTAAAATAATTATGAAAATCTGTGAATATAATCATCAATATTTACCATTTGCTTTCAAAAACCTAGACTCATTTTTATAACTGTCTAAATGACAACAAATGTATCACCTCCATTTTATAGATGGAAGGATAGATATTATATCTATTTACCCAAGACTATGTCATGATGCAGTAATACTTAGAAATAACAGCTCTGACATTTATCTAATTTTTAAAACAGATGAATAATGTCATTTGATTAACACAGAGGGACAAAGGATGATTTATGTCACTTTTCATATTATATTTTAAAGTACTCTTCCCACTAAAGCAAAATCCTGCATTTCATTTTCACGTTTACAGCAAAACCGATTCCTAACTAGTGCATATATATTTAAATTTAATCTTGACTAGAGTGCAGAAACAAACCGGATTTCTGCTCTACTGCTGAGCACTCACTGAATTCCCCATTCCCCAACCTTGCGTTTGGATGACATTCCCATTTTTTCATCATTACCTGCATGTTGACATATGACGGCCGCGAGGCCAGGCGGGCCCTTTCAGAGTTTTGCTGGGCGGCTGCAGCCCTCTCTGCGGCACGCTCACTCCCCGGAGCCTTCTTGTCAGCCAGCGGGCTTTCTGTAGCACTCAGTTCAGGATCTGAGAGCAGCCTGTCGGTGCTGCTGTGAAACAGAGTTTGGAATTTAACACTTCACTATCATATACGAATGTGCTGCATGTTTCCTGTGTGCCATGTTTTCTCTTGTATGTTTACCACTGTCAACTATTTACCTGTATTATTTCATTTAATCCTCACAACACCGCTATGAGGTAGGTAGTAGTATCCCCATTTTACAGACAAGTACCTTGTCAGGGTTATAGTTCTGATAGACGATAGAGCTGGAATTTGAACCTGGGTGTCTAAGAGCTGGAGCTAAAACTCTTTCATGATATATATTCACACACATTATATATAGTATATATAGCATACTGTATATGGTACATGTGGAATAGACATAGACAAGATTCCTGATTTGGATACATCAGGAAGATGGCAATGGCCCATCCATACACAGTCTAAACAAGACTGAGTCAATGAGAAGCCATGCAGATGATCCAATTCATGTGTGTGAAATATGACATTGCTAACAAATCTGCTATGATAAAGGTGGCAGATAAATAAGACATATTTTCCAACACCTGTGTGGGAAGAGCATGAAAGTACTTCTTAAAATGGGGAACAATGATTTTAATTACAAGAACTGATAATGACTTACACGTACACTCGAGTTCAAATCCAACTGCATGTTAAGCTCAAGTAAAAGAGAAATAAGAAACGGTATTCATCAAAGAGCTGATTTGTTCATTCATTCATTCATCATAAACTACTCAGGTGCGCCAGGGGGAATCAGAGGAATAGAAAGAGAGGAGCAATAAACTGTGTGTGACAGAAGTTCACAGAGGCTTCACAGGAGACCCTTGAACTGGAATTTAAAAGGCATCTGTAGCTTCACCAGTGTGAAGGGCCAGGAGAACAGCAATTTGGAAGGAACAGCATAAGCAAAGGAAAGGAAGCAAGCAATGCAGATCATAAGTGGTTTTAAAGCCAAAGTATGACAAGACCAGACTGTGTGTTCAAACTAATTACTGGAACAAAAGAAAGGACTAATAAGGAGATGAGAGACTGGAGGCAGGAAGACCATTCTGGAGGGTGCAGCTTAATTCAGATAACAGACAATGATGAATTCACAGCACAATGATAAAAGGAGTAGGTAAGTACTTCAAATGCTTCAACACAAAGAAAGCAAAATCATTTCTATAATTTATACTAAATAATGTTAATTTTGAGTACTAGTACCAAAAAAAAAAAAAAAAAACAGATTCAGACAAAATGGTAACAACGGCAATTAATTGACCAAAGAGTATATAAAAAGCAAATCAGATTTTGGTAAGATAAAGAGGAAATAAGAATACATATGCTGTATTTCCCTCTAGACATTCTACACTGTAAGGATATATAGTTGACCCTTGAACAACACGAGTCTGAACCACATGGGTCCACTTACATGCAGATTTTTTCAGTAAATTTTCAGTGAGCCTTCCATATCTCCGTGTTTTACATCCTGGGAGTCAACTAACCATATATCAAAACAGTATTTTTGATTCATGGCTGGGAATCCACAGAGGCAGAGCACCAACTGTATGCACTGTTCTATGTCATTTTATATAAGGGACCTGAGCACCTGTGGATTTTGGTATCTGTGGAAGGTGGGGTGGGGTGGCGTCTTGGAACCAATCCCCTGCGGATACCAGGGGAGGACTGAAGTCGAGTTTTCGGAAAGTAAAAATTATTTATACATGGATTTTTGACTGCACAAGGGAACTAATGAGAGAGTAGAGGGAACTGGGTGGATGGAGATGGGCGGGAACAAAGCCTTTCAGTGTAGAAGCTTTTCATCGTTTTTCTTTTTAAAAACATGTGAACAGACTGCCTATTTGAAAAAAAAATAAGATAAGTAGAAAAAAATAAGGATAACACATTTCTAACCATCCTATGGTAAAGGGGTTATTTTTAATACAATATATCTATTTATGCTTACTGTGATTTATAATAAATGAAATCACGATGCTGTCAAGTATTCATTAACAAAGTTAGCAATTAACAACCTTGGAACAAGGGAGGCATCGTTTAAGTTAGAAATTCAAAGGCAAATGGAGAATTCACAGCAGGAAAATATCTAACAGCAACAATTAGAGTAAAAATTGCCTTGCTGATTACTGAAGAGCAGTGAGAATGTTAAAGTTTCAGAGCAATATAGATGGTTTAGAGGACCCACAGAAAAACTCAACCAACTGAAAGGGGGAGAGACAATAGAAAAGACATATGGGTTAAAATTACCCGATATTATTCCTTAATAAAATTTTTATCCACATAAACATCGCTAAAACTGAAATCACACAGCCAAAAAAAAAAAGGAAAACCTGACATTCATAACTACATGGATGGAACTTCAGGGTATTATGCTAAGTGAGATAAGTCGGATGGAAAAATACCATAATCATTTCACTCGTGTGGAATTAAAAAACAAAAACAAATGAACAAACAAAATCAAAAACAAAAACACACTCATAGAGGCAGACAACAGATCGATGGTTACCGGAGAGGAAGTGGGGTACAGGAGGGCAAAACAGGTAAAGGGGTCAACTGCACGGTGCATGGAGACTAGGCTTTTGGTTGTAAGCACAATGTAATATATAAGGATGTTGAAGTACAATGTTGCACATCTGAAACTTATATAATGTTATAAACCAACATCATCGCAATAAATTTTTCTTTTTTACAAAAAGAAAAGAATTATAAAGAGAAATGAAAACAAAAACTCATGGATAAAACCAAACTCACTTGAACCAAAGAGCACTGACTGCTGAACAAATCCAGTTTTGTTCCACTAACTTAAAACAAATCCAGCTTATTACACAATTTCTTTCAAAGGATCAAGGGCTTTTAAAGATGAAACTACATACTGTAAGTGGGAGTTTTTCGTGCCTTGCAGTAGTTCCACTGTCTGCCTCTTGGCACAGGAAACTTTGGAAGGACCTATCATCTGTTTCAAGTCACCAGCATTCCCAGAATGGGAAGGACTTCGAGGCATGCCTACTTCAACAAACGCATCATTACAACCTGCAGAGAAGAGAGAAAAAAAATGAAAATCCAGGCATCGCCTTATCATCAACAATCACCTGCAATGGAAACAAACCAGAATCCAACTCCAGGGAGACACAGACATTAACAGCTCTCAGCTGCAAAGACAATACCTTATTTAACAAATGAAGGGTGCTTCAAAAACTCAAGATGAAATCTGAAGACCCTTATATTTTTTAAAGATTGTCAGAAATGGAAAGGTTATAAAAAGAAATACTCTACTTATAAAATTTATATACATACACACACACACACACATACACATATATATGTATGAATTTAGTAAATTGATGCTTTCCTGCTAAACAATTCACTTTAATTTAGGAAGAACCAATGAAATGGGAAAGCGATTCTGTGAAAAGTGCTTTTCAGTTTATCTTTCATCACGTTCTTCAGAGTTTCATTCAAGATGTTGTCTTTCTGCATACTTGTGGCGGGAGGAGTCATGACTGGTTAGCAAAATCAATTAGCAATCACTGCACAGAGCTTCTACAACCACCTTTATCCAAGTCAGAGACCCAGGTGAAGTTCGGAAGGAAAAATACCTTCTACAGGGTTTGATTTGGGCGAGGCCTGCTCAGATCCACTCGATTGTCTGGATGGATCACTGTGATTTGCACTCAGCACTTTTTCTCCAAGAGATGAAGTGGATATTGCACCATATTTTATATTCGGAGACTGAAATAACAAAATGATGTACAGATATGGTCACAATTCTAAAATTCACTTCAGGAGCAAGTTTAAAAGTGTTACTAGTGGCTTATTTCTTATAGACAGTGTGGATCACATTATTCTATCTGAAGGACATTACCTGTGCATGTCCATTTAAAGAAGGAGAGATTTTTTTGCCTTCTGTCTGCATACTGTTGATATGGACATCGACGGGAGTCAAGCCAGGAGGGGGAGATGGAGCTGTGTGCCCGTAGGCGGGTACTCCAGACAACAAAATGTTGGTTAATGTGGCTTGGGCAGTAGATGGAATCATAAGGTGTGGTATGGCAGAAAAACCTAGAACAACATTTCATGAAGACAGATATGAGACAGGAAAAAATTCAGAATCAACAAGCATTATTTTATTATTTTCAGTAACAACAACAAAAAAATCATTTTTGTTGCAGCAAATTCAGAAGAGAATTTGATTTTTATACCTCTCTGCAAATAGGTTTAACATTACTACACAAAAGAATGTTAAAATGGAACAATACTCCAGAGAATATTTAATCCAAGCTCCTCACTGGACAGATGAGGAAACTGGCTAGATTCAGCATGCACCTAGGACTACCAAGCAAATCTGTCCAACCAGAACCTACGTTTCCTAATTACCAGGTCAGTGATCTTCACGTGCCTTTGTCACTGCTCCCTGCACATCATGCTCTTCTTCCTGATCTGCTTGTCACATCTGAAGATTATATTTTGCTTTTATGAAAAACTCACTGCTTTGTTGTGCATCATTTTAACTAATTTACATATTAGAGAATTTCTCTTTGGCTGCAGTATGCTTTGAACTATAATTTTTTCCTAAGGAAATGGAACCATTAATAAATTTTATTTAAAAACTGATAATACCTAAGAAGACATGCCTTTGATTGTACTTAAATGATACTGACCTGTGGCACTTGAAGTATTAGCAAGTGGGGGTGCCCATAATGTGGGGCTGGGGGTGCCGGAACTTGGACTTTGCAAAGGACTGACTGAGCTATTAAGAGCATTCAGGAGTGAATTCGGGGTTGTCGAAGTGTTTAGAGATAAGGTGGTGGGGCCCAAAAGACCTGTAATAAAGGAACGTAAGGTCAATATGCATAAATTCAAGATTTTAAAATAACAGATGGCACCAACACTGCTACTTGAAATACACATTGATATAATCTGATATTTTCTAAATATAAAATATGAGTGACAGATTACCTTTCAAATATTCAAGAGACATTGATGATACGACTCCAACACAGGACCCAGCTTATCCACAAACAGACGCTGACCAGGAAATGGAAGCTAGGTGCCCAAACCAGGAAGCAGCCAGGGTCACTGAGCAATGCCAGCCACTTTGCTTTCATTTCAATAGCCAGGATGAACAAAATTCTGCTCAAGTGGAAACTCGTTTTTATTTCTCTCATAGCTCAGTTGTCATATGCTTTCAAACAAACTCTTCAAACCACTGACAATTAGCTGTGAATAAGGGAACATATTCCGGCAACAGAATGGCTCCAATCGGCCCATGTGCAGATGGGCCAAGCTACCTGGAACGGTTTTCATACCATCAAAACACATACGTGACTTCTTAGTGTTCTGTCTCAAAGCAGTTTTTTCTCAAGGGAAAATTTTTTTGTTTTGTTTTTCACTTGTTTTAAGGATTTAATGTTTGATTTAATTTAAGTAATGAAATTTCCCTTTGGGCATTTAAAATATGTTCTACAGTGTGAATTTGTCTACACGTTTCCAGGAATACTTAAAACATGAAGTATTATAGGGTAGGTATAGCCATGAAAACATTTTGCATCTCTGCTCGCTTTTTTCATCTCCAGTGCAGCAAGAACTCAGGTCCTCCTAAGTGTGTGACTGGCATTTCCAGATACATGGCTGTGATGTTATGACTGTTCAGGTCTCCAGCGGAAGGGACGACTTTGAAAGACTATGGGCCAAGGAGAAAAAAATCTGCCTTTACTGTAATGGCGTCTGTGCAGGGCTCCTTGGAGTATTAATCATATTATTTAAACATGTTATATTTTTTAAAAGCAAGAATAGCTATTAGAAAAAAATTAAAGACTGCTGAGAGTATTTATTCTGTCTCAAATCAACACTGAATGGGGTGGAATGATTTGCTGGTGTTATTGCATTAACTTTTTCTATAAAGGCTACTGAAAAAATGTGCAAATAGTGAACCTAACGTAATTTAATATGGTAACGAACTTCAGCCTGTAAGATGGGAATCCATAAATGAGGCAATAAATATCTCATGACTATCATGTGGCTCACTCTACTTTCCTAAATACTAAAACACTGAGGTGATGATGTTCTTTCATCTCCCTGTTCTTTGCCTTGGATATAAATCCAGATCCATCTGCTCCCCTTGGGGGCCACAGGCTAGATTTCCTTTGTATCTTCGCGAGGCAGGCCTAACCACTGGGAGTGGGGGGTTCTGCTTGCTTTCACCTCCCCCTCTCCCCACCCCTGACACAGAACTGCAATTACTTTTTGAAACGCAAAATGGATAATCTTTATCTCTGGGGAATGATGGCAATATTGCAAACGCAAGAGAGAACAAACACATAAATTATAGTCAGCCTGCTGACTTCACTCTCAGTGGCATTCTTAATTTAGAAGAACAAACACAGCCACTGAAAATAAAACAGTCAGACCTTGATTATTTATGCCAAAATAAGAAGCATCGGGGAAACAGAAATCCACAGAATCTAACCAAAAAAACACAAAATGGATTGATTCGAGTTTTGTTGCTTTTCACCTGATCTTAGGGCCTAAAGAGGGGAAATCATAACCTTTAAAATGTAGCCCCAACCAGCAGAAAGAAAGAGAAGTGAATAAGCAATCCCCCAGTGACTGAGAAGTGCTATAATAATAAATTTTATACCTAGTCCAGTGAGTCCGAGGCCTGCTGAGGCTAAGATATCCAGGCTGGGACAAGCCAGGCCGGCAGGGCATGATGCTGGGGATGGACTGGTTGCTATGGTAACCCCACTGCTTTCAAGTCCGAGGAGACATTTCCTTGCTTCATACATATTTAAGGCATTTCGTTCAACACTTTTCACAATCACAGACTATGAAAACACATAATGGAAAAGAAAAAAGTGACATGCAGGTAGTCTACAATGAATTCAGGAGGTGGATGAGAAATGAATACGGTGATAAGAATCCCACTTAAGGAATATATTAACGCTGCTTTCAAATCAACTGCAAATTCTAACCACTTATTATGTTTCCTCCTTTAGGTAAAACCATAAAACGTTAGTTACCATTTATTGGGTGTGTCCTGTGTTCCAAGCACTGTGATGGAAGCTGCACATGTATTCCAACTCCCACCAAAACCTTATGAGGTAGAAATTATTATTTATATTCAGTGAGGATAAGAAACTTACCCAGGGTCACGGCACAGCTGTGGAGGGGCAGCGAGAGGGGTGGAACAAAGGTCTATCACTACAGCCCGTTCCCGGTTACATTCTCTTGTCTTTATGTTAAAACTTCCCCCTTTATATCATTTTTACAAAACAAATCAAATTTGTCTCCATACAGTATATAGACTGCATAATAATAGTCACTTACGCTTGACATTTATGGTCTACCAGTTAACTAATAGACCGAGGTACCACTATTCCTCACTGATGACATATCTGTGGCAAAGCTTATAGTAAATTTCTAAACAATAAATCTTCTTTCTCTCAGTGGACTTGCCTAGAAAATTGGAAATGTGAACCCAAGAGGGAAAGCCTCCAATGAACAATAAAGAATGCTTGTGACTTAGAAAGCAGGTGAAGCAGTACTAAGCATGGGGCCACCAGGCATAATAGGCCACAGAGGCCCTGGGATGATGAAGGCTTCAGAGTTCTCCCTTACGATATACTTTTCCCTGACTTCTGTTCATTTCTTCCTGAACTCCAGGAATTCTTCTTGTGTCTTGTCCATCTTATATGCACAAGTCCTCAAAAGTCTATTCTGTCTTCATCTTTTCATCCTGGTATCTACAAGTGACTCTAGTCAACTCAAATTAGTCAAGCATGAAGCTTCACGATACATAAAATTAGTGTTCTGTTCTCTAACTTTAAGCTCATTATATTAAGTTTACCTAGAATAAATACTATCTTTTCCTTTAAAGTTATCTTTTGAAGAAGGCATAATTGTTTTTCTTAAGCTGGACACTGAATACCACGTTCTTCACATATATACAAAATTGTATGTAATATATGTTATACATATACCATTATGCATATATGATAAGATGTGTAGTTCAGAAATTAAAAAACGGAAGGCACAACTGTGTGCTGTTTTATCTAGTATAATAAAATATACCTAAATGTTACCATTTAGTACATGTTATTATGCAACTTGCCTTTTTCCAACACCGTTTTTATCCTTTGATTTCTGGTACAAAGGTTTCTTCAGAGTATATAACTGGAAGCAGAATTACTGGAGGTATCAGTATTGTTAGTGTGATCAGATGGTCCCAAATTGCTCTTCGAAGTGGTTTTGCCAATTTAAACTATATTATTGTAGGGACATTCTTCTTTCCTCACATTCTCACTAGCACTTAATATCATCAGAGTTGTCCCATTAAGTTTTACTGTTTATGTAACTACTGAAATTTTGAACATCTTAGAGGAGCTGTTCTAGGAAGATTGAACTGGGTATAATTCATTAGTAAAGGTATTTATTATTAAAGAGAATGGGCACCTATTCGTTAAATCTCCAGGGCTAGCACACTGGCTCAAAAATAGTAAGTAAACTAAATATTTTTTGAATTGTATTGGATATGTACACATAACACATGTTTAGCCTTATCAACTCCCTGGTAGTTTACTAATACTTAAAGTTGCCAGATTGAAAATTAATGAAAAAGTGTTTTCTCTTTCCTTCTCATGTATTAATAGAAAAATAATGGTCACTAAAAATGGATTCCAAACCCAACACATTAAAGTAAATGATGATCAATAATGAATGTTCTTACAAATTTATATTTGTATAAAATAACTAAATGTAATATATAATGATATGTATTACATAGGATATTTAGTTCTATGAAGATGCAAATACACACTTATATGCAAATAAAACAGAATGTGATATGATACATGGTTTCCTGGGTCTAGACTGAACCAACCTTGCTTGGCTGTTTCGGCTTTGGTTTAATACTAATGAAGACATCGAGCTGTTCCATCAACTGAGCAATGAATTGTGGATCAACTTCAATTTCTTCCTTCATATCAAACATCAACACAAGAGGAAGACAACCCTAGGAAATGTCACACAATAGAAAGTGTAGGAGGTAAAAAGTTACTCATTTAAACATCCAATAGTTTAACATGCCTACAAATAATGCAATATTTTACGGAACTAAAGAGTAAGCCAAAGTCTTAATGCTAAATTATTCACCTACACATAGCTCAGAGGGCTGGTGACAGAAACCATTTTTTGGATGACAAAATTATACATGTCTTAAATGTCTTTTTTTGGCCCTGAATTTTTACTCATTATCTACCTAGGAAAATTCCTCTATCCTCTGACTTCAGTTTTGTTACTGATGCCAGAAACTAGATTCTCAACTATTATCAAGGGTACTCATCTAGTGCCCTTGCTCCAAGACTGACAGTGGTGGCTTTTAATTGCCTCCTGAATGAAATCTAAACATGCATCAGCATTTAAAGATCTTCGCATCTTGGCCTGGCTTTGCTTGTACAATCACAGGTCTTCATGTCTGCGCCTTCCTCCAGGTTAGACCAGTCTCGTGAGTATCTTTTAAACAGATTTCATACACTGGTATCTTAACTCATCAATAGGCTTCTTCACCAATCCGAGTCCTGCTTCTCTTCTGATGCAGCTCAAACCTTACCTCCTTTCTTGAGTAAATTGCTACTGTCGCCCCTTCTTTTAATTATTTTACTCTTTAGCACTGCAGAGTACTTGTTTTTTTTTCTCTGATGCTTTCTTCCTGGCCCCTAACCTACTGACTATAGGAACCACATCAGGTACATTTTCTGATGCAAAGGATACTCAGTGCTAGCCTACTGATGGATAGGTTTTGTACATAAGTATCATGAGAAGTTATCATGAAACGTATTAGAATTAAAATACAATTACTATGTTCTATTTCCTTTGTGGATAAAAGTAATTTTTTTAAGGACATGGCTTTAAAAAAAGAGGTGATGGTATTTAAAATATAGGTTAAAGCCTTTTCATTTATCTCTCCCTCTCTTTTTTTAATATTGTGCAATAATATGTCTCTTTGCACACCTATAAACATAGCCTGATAACGTGAACTTGGCTTAAAAAGTCATTCGGAACAAAATAAATTTCCTAAAATTAAGTACTATAATCCTTAATGATTATAACAAGTTCTCATCTGTCAGAGGAATGGAGTCAACAATATAAACTTGGATTTTCTAAAAATTTCTCAAAAATGAATTCTGTAAGTTAATAATAGTAAAGGTCATACCTAAAGCTTACTGATTCAAATGTTGCTAAAGGTCAAGTTCTGAACAGAATGGTGTTTTTAATAAAAATATTTGTAATTCCACATTATGGCGGTCCATTTTGTAACTATGTATCAGCCCTACACACTGGGTTTTTAAATGAAATAGGAAGGACGGAAATTTTGCAAACTATAAATTGGAAGCAGTACTGAATTATATAACTCTGCTATTTTTCTTCAATGTATGACACTCAAATTCATGGCTTAAAGAGCATTTTTTAAATTATATCAGAGATTTATAAAATGTTCAAATGTTTCACGCTACAAAAACTTATGTCTTTGAGGGTAATATTTCAAAGGCACTTTTACTTTTCTGTTTAAACAGAAGACTTTGTTGAATGAAAACTGCAAACTAATATATGTCATATGAAAATAATCACCTTCCTCAAAACAGTCAGTTATTTCATCTGAACCTCTTCTACGTTTAGTCTAAGTTCAAAAACAATACTGCAAGGAAATTACCCATCTATATAATGAAATTAGGCCTGCGAGGCACTATCTACCTTACTCTTTTATTTCCTTTTACCTAGAAATTTCCTTATTTGACCAGGCTTCCAAAATGCATTCATAAATATCACATTAGTATGGTGTGTGCAATACACACTGTACCCAAAACAAACGAACAAACAAAAAGTAACATTAATTTCACTAAACATACCATGAGATATTGCCTTGCAAGGCAGACAGACTCAATGGTGCCCTGGAGGTAGACGGTGGATTTCTTTTGTGGATTACTGGGGTCAGGAAAGTGGATCTGAGCACCCGTTCTCTGCATGATATGTTTGATGTTGCTTCCATTTCGACCCATCATAAAGAGATGATGTTGAGCTGCGATATCTAGTTGTGTGCTCACAGGAATAGCAGATGCCAAGCTCCCGGCCAGATGTTCCAACAGCATGGCAGTTCCTTCCTAGGAGAAAAGGGTGGGAGACAAATAATCCTATAAAATAACCATCCACATACAGGGGAGGATTCTAGTGCACTTCTAACAACTACGGAAAAACACAACACGTTCTATAAACCAGAATGTAATACAAGGGGATATTCTGGAAAACGAACTACTCTAAAATCCTTTAAAAATAAAACTTGAATGATCTGTACACTGAGGATGTTCGGCATTATCCGTCACTTACCTTCACAGCACTAGTGTTATTCTGAGACCCTCGTACTATCACAGTAGCACCATACATTCGGGAACGCTGTTTAAACGACACTGAAATGTTGTATGTTTGTGATATGTGCTGGATGGAGGGGGAATTAGGATCAGGAACTGGCTGAAGAATTCCAGCAATTGGTAGCTCAAACATCAGCACCAAAGGAAGCAGCTCCTAAAATGAAATTATGAAAACCCAAAGTAGAGAGTTAAATTATTATACATTTAGAAATATGTATATAATTCATTCATTTGTTTCTAAAGATGGAATTTCAGAACATAAATTGCTTTTATTTTAAAACATAAATCGCATGGGTAGACTATATTAAGTTTCTTAAACAACAGACGCTTTTTATGTAATCTAAGAGTTTGTAACTTTAACTATAATGGCATTTTCCTCAGGCCTCTTTTTGATTGTTTCAGAGTCATCAGAGAAACTGAGGTAAAATTCAGAAAGTCTCTAAAAAACATTTTTAATACATTAAAATTACTTTTGTCACTATTTCCTTCATACTGGACACATGATTTTTGTTATGAATTGGTAAATTATGATTTTTAATGCCTTATAATGAAAACATTGCTGACAAAGATTTACGATATAAAAGTAATAAACAGTTACCCGAATTCTAACTCGGGCAGATTCTACTCCTGCTGGTTGTCCTGCTATAGATACCTGTAAAAATAAGAAAATACAAAGTTAGAGTTACTTTAATTGCACCCGCATTTGTTTTTCCAGTTATCTACATCCTTGCTGCTCAAAGTGTCCTCCAGGAAAAAATAGCATCGGTATTAACTGAGAGCTTGTTAAAAATAAAGGATCTCAGGCACCAACTCAGACCTGCTTAATCAAAACTTGCATTTTAATGAGCTCCTTGGGTAATTTGTGTCAATTGATCTACATCACCCCGTGGTTATCTGAAACCTCACAGCCCTCATGTAGCCATCTTGCCTCCCTCATAATTTCATTTGTTCACGGAATTTTGTCCCTTGCAGACTAGATGAATATCAATATACAATGATACTGCTGCATTAGGTTCTCAAAATACTGAGCTACTTCTGAGCTAGCTGGTAAAAAATCATTGCTCTAACACCCACCTACAGCCCTCTCATGGGATCACCTGAACTCTCACAGAATCCATCGACTAATTCAGGGGTTCCCAGGCAGAGCCTCAGACTAGGACTGGCCTGTGGCCTGTTAGGAACCAGGCCGCACAGCAGGAGGTGAGCAGCAGGCAAGCAAGTGAAGCTTGCAGCCGCTCCCCAGCACTATAGCATTGCCACCTCGGCTCCATCTCAGATCATCAGGCATTAGATTCTCACAGGAGCACTGGTCTCTGATGCCAAAAAGGTTGGGGACCATTGAACTAAAGTATTACTCTTGGCATTAGGGTAAGGGTGTGGGGGCTCCAGGACCCTGCTCTTAGAGTACATGCCTATGCCATACTAGCTGTCAACTATTTTGACTACTGCCCTTGCTTTTTACCATGGCTTTCTATCTAGTTCCACGTGTGTGTCCCACTGTCACATTAGTCACTGTAGAGAAAAAGACTATATTTGATTCATCTTTGTGGCCAACATAGTTTCTTGTACTGTGATTAGCTTAGAAGAGAGAAAACTTGTGAATAACATAAATAACACTACTTGCTCTTCAAATACTGAAAATGCTTTCGTGAGGATAGGTGAATTGATTTGTTTCCAAACAAAAGAACTAGGAAAATGTATATGAACTAAAGAGAGACATAATTCAGTCAATGTGGGGAAATTGGGGACTCATGAATTAACTCTCAGAAGGTGATGTGGTGTAGCCCGGAGGACCACTTGGGGGACACTGTGGACAGAATCCCAGCGATGGAGGGGTGCTTGGACCAGGCAAGCTTCCGGGCCCTTTCCTAATTCGCATGCTCTCTGAGCCTTCCTTAGAGACTTCATCTTATGTGGCCATCACTTCCTCCCCTCTCTTCTACCAACCACTTAGAGATCAAGGGCCTACCTGCAACTGATCTCTTCAAAAGAGCAGAGCACCTGTGATCTTCTTGCAGGGAGTAAGGTCATACAATCTACACTACGTGCCAACTCCATGCTTACTTTTTTGCTCTCATCTTCCAAAAAAGATGTGCATACGGAAAATTAAGGCTGTAATCTGTCCCATAGAGGTTCATGTGAAAAGACACAGCACCTGGTTGCTTTTTTCTGCTTGGTTATTCCTGTTGGAATCTGGAAAGTGGATGTGGCAGCCTGTTTCTTCCATCACTTTTTTAATATTGTTGCCACCTTTGCCGATCACATGAGAATGTTCTGTATGTGAAACATCCATCTTCAAGGTAACCCGATTGCTCTGTGTAGAAATAACATATTATTTCTCGATGCATGAAAAGGGTAGGAACAATCCCTAAAACACTTTCCCTTCGAGTGAATAATATTAACAAAAAGTGAGCCAGTGGGAGATCATACACATTTCTTAATAAGTCTTAGTCTATAAATGTTTAATTTCTATATATTTCTCTTAGGTTATAAAAAAAAAATATTTTAAGACAAATTTGTCAGAAGAAATAGAAAGATATACTTTTTCCTGAGATAATTTTTTGGAAAGTAGCCTTTAAACAAAATTAGCTACAATTACAAATAAATTACTTTTTTTTCTTTAATAGACATTATTTCTGAAACATTTACTTCAAATAACTAAAAACAGATGAAAACACAATTACAAGATCAACTATATATATCTGCATGCTAGTAGCACTGTAGAACTAAGATGCTAGAAAACTAGAAATTAAAATAAATCTCAAAACTGAAAAAGAAGTATTTATAAGCATTTGCACAACTACTATACTATTGTATGTCAAACTTTACAAAGTAGATTTATTATTCTTGCTGGCAGGAAGAAGATGGAGAAAGGGATCACAAAGCATAGATCTCCGAAAGTAAGATGGCTTAAGTAAACCAATAGATAGTATGAGATTAGTTATAGTAAAGCAAAACATAAAATTCTAAGACATAATGGATAATTATGGTCATACTATTTTATAACTAGTGTTATAAAATTGTAAAGACTAACATGAAATCTTTTCTCATTTACAAGATTGATACTGAAATTCTTCAATTCTTAGAAAGTAAAATTAAAAAGACAAAAAGACAAGTTGTTAAAAATATCAATAGCTTTACATCTTCTGAATTCTTATATTTTAAACATATCCATTAAATACTTTGATTTTTAAACTTGTTCTTCTTTTAGTTTATCATTTGAAATACAGGAAAAGAGTATTCTTTTTTGGAGAAAATTCTAAAATATTTAATAAATGTAAATAATTCTTAAAAATAAAAAAAAAAAAAAGAAAAGGAAAAAGGAAGAGAGCAGAAACCATTTCAATAAAATAACAAGTGGCAAAATAGTTGCTGAGAACCATACATCCTGGATTTAAATCTCACCTCCCCACTGATAAGCTGTTAGATTCTGGGCAAATTCCCTAATATCTCTGTGCTGAGTTAGAGAGGAGGGTTATACAAATTAATATTTGTAAAGTGCTTAGTTAACAAAGTGCCTGACATACCATAAGTGATTTAAAAGTGTTTATTAAAGGAGATTTTCACAAAGGAGCATACATTTTTAAATATTTAGATTTCCCTATTATCTCTATATACATATACTTACAGAGAGAGAATGTACAAGTGAAAGTGTCAAACTTCATGCCTTCACACACACACACACACACACACACAGAGCTATAAAGAAAATCGTTTTGGTTCTCTGCTGGCATCATAAAAGCAAATATCTAATTGTTATAGTCTTTATTACTACTTACTTGCCCTATACCAATCAGGCTCAATATCTATTTCTAAAGATGGGATATAAATACATATATATGTACATATATATATATATACATACATACATACATACATATATACACACACACACACACACACATACATACACACACACACGTGTGTGTGTATTTACATATTACTCAACTACCCAGCATGAGAGAACCTATTCAGATTTTAACAGAACTTTACATCCATTGTAGAATCACACGTGCTTATTTTAAAACCCACCATTACTTTCTCCTGGTTTTTCTTCTCCAAATGGTTCTTTCATAACAGCATGAAGTAGCCCTTGCAGAGACAAGGTTCTGACATCTGAGTGTCCTTAACATTCACTTACTTTTGTGTCTAAGACAGACATGATCATTTCCTTGGCTTCCTTAACATCTTCTTTCTTTCCAGAAACCTTAATGTGGGGATCTGTAAGAAATCAAAAACAAAGGCTCATGTAAAACCCTCAAACTCTGTTTTAAAACTTAAAATATAAGAGAGTCCATAATAAATTCAATATTTGAATCCTTCTAAGTGTGATATCATTGTAATAGACAGGAATTTTGAAAAATACCCAAATTGTGCATTATCTGTGACTTCTTTCTGAAAACTGCTTAAACCATTTAACTTTAAATTTAATTGCAATGTAAGTATATCATATGATTATTTATTTTTTGAATATGTAAACTTTTTAATTTTTAAAAAGTAATGCCAACAAATGTATAGTTGTATTATTTTCCCCAATTGCTTGCAAAAAGAAAACATCTCTATACCACCAGATCTAGTTTTAAACCTCAGTTCAGACTTCATCAGCTCTCAGCCAGACCACTGCAATCACTTATTCAAATCCTGTCTTTCTCCCTGTGGATGGCCCTCTACAGTCTGACCTTTACATTATGGCTAACATGGTCTTTTTTAAAAAAATTATTTTTCAATTACACTTGATATACAGTATTATATTAGTTTTAGCTGTACAGCATGGTAATTAGACATTATATACCTCATAGAGTGATCACCCTGATAAGTACCCCAATAAATCTAGTACCCCAATAAGTGTAGCACCAATAGCTCACAATTTTTTTTTGCCCACAACTTTTAAAACAAGTGAGGAGTCTATAAATTCAATTAACTGATCTCTTGCTACCTTCCAGGCCCTGTTCTAATGCTTTAAGTGCATTAACTCATCTACATGCAGCTTTCTTTGTGAGGCTGTTTTACAGAGGAAACTAAGGCACAGAGCAGTTCAGTAACTCACCCCAGAAAACCACTCAGAAGCTTGTTCATTATAATCCAATATCTTCCAACTCTGGATCCACACTTTAAATTATGTGATTAACTTAATTGAGAAGATAACCTTACAGGTCAAGTTTAATAGGAAAAAAAAAAAAAACCCTTAATTTTCATTCAGGACTATTTCATATTTATTCGGAATTAGTATTAAGTGACTAATACATGTTACGTCTATCGTTCATTACTGCCATGGAATTTTATGTAGAAAATAATTCCTACATTCAGCAAATACTTTCTGGACCTTTACTATGTACCAGGACACTATTCTAGGGGCTGCGGGACTTATCAGCGAAGAAAAAAGCCCCTGTCCACATGTGGCTTACTATCTTGTGTGGAGACAAAACAATAAATCAAATAAATAAATTATCCAGTATATTACAACATAACCGCTATGAAAGAAAAGAGAGAGGAAACAAGACAAAAGAATCAGGAGAACCAGCCATGGGAAGTGGGTCAGGGCATTAGGCCTTGTTGAGAAAGTGAGATTTGAGGAAAGGCTTAAAGGAGGTGAGGCAGTTGGCCAGGCTGGAGTCTTCCCGAGGAGCAGAGGTGGGGAGGTGCCTCTGCAGCTCTCTCTTTAGTCAGGTTTTCATGTCTCCCCAGCCACCTAGGTGTTCTATTACCTTACAGGTCAGCTTGACAGACAGCAAGACAAAAGTTCTATACCACTTGCTTTAGTGATACATCTGAATGACAAAGAGATAAGTTATCATCATCATTACCACCACAATCATTAAGAATGCCAATCTTATTGTCTTCTCTGCTAAGTCCTCCATATCCTGTACTTGACCTTGGCTTGGCGACAGACTCAGCTAATGTTTGCTGAGCATCTTTCACTATTAACAAGCAGTTCTGCCTGAGTCCTTGTAAACCATCAGTTCTCTAGGAGAAATCAGAGTCACCTGGTGGGGATTTTTTATCAAATTACACATATTTCCTTCATATTGAGATTTACTCATTCTTATCCCAGTCTACATGAAAATCAATGCCATGATGAATATGTCATATTCACTCATAAGGTACAAATGAACAAAAGAGGGGATGGAGGGAAGGAGGAGGGAGGGAGGGAGGGAGAGGGGAGGGAAAGTACAGGAAGGAGGAAACCATTTTCTAAAGCTACTTGCTCTTAGGACCAGGATGGAGCAATAGCTTCAGAGTTCAGGAGTGCATCTGGCTTCCTGGAGAAACATCCCAGCAGCTGTGCTTAATTTGAGTCAGTGCCATCACCTCCAGCCACCACCCGCACCCCAGACTATGTCTCCTGGTGACTGCTTTTGGCCTTAGCCACTTCTCCTTATCCTGTTCTATAATCCCTCCTCTGACACTTGCCCTGTCAATGAGACATTATAAAGATCAAAGACCTTAAGCTTAGTTGAAATTTTCTAAAATGTTTGAGTGTCAAAGCATTTTCTTCAATAATTCTGAACCCAATATAACTCCTCTAGGCAATACTTACATAAAGAGCTGTCGTACATTCAAATTTTGGTCTCAACTATCTTCAACTTTGTTTTGAGTTACTGCAGGCTGACTGCGATGTTAATCTCTACTGAAAATATGCACTACTGCAGGATTAGAACCCGGTGCTTCTCAAAATGTGCCTGCTCATCAGGCTGGTAGCACTTGCTAAATATAGGTTCCTGGGTATCCAGGACAAAGCAACAAGCATTTTGTTGGTTTCCCAAGTGATTTTTACATCAAGTATGGGGCATAGTAGATCAAACCACATTTAAAAATGTAATTGCAGTCTCCTATGTCTGGGCCAAGTATATATAATATAAATGCTTCTTCAAGAAAAAGGTGCATTTTTCTCACAAAATAAATTAAGTATTGAGTGGTATGATAATTTGAAAACCTATTACAGGTTGGATAATCACATTAAAATTCCTAGGCATCTGTAGAGGGACAGGAAACCTCAATTTAAGAAAGAATTTGATTTCCCACCATCTCTGCAATAACAGAACAATAAAGAAAACAGAAAGTAAAAGCCTCAATAGAAAAATACATTTCATTTCAAAGTCAAAGAGCTCCATCTAGTGACCCAAAATTTAAATTATAAATGGACACAAATAGACACATGCATACTCCATATAATCTCCAACATGTAACATCGAACTGTCTCTAGGACTCAAATCAGCACTTGTTTGAAAATGGTTCTTCAAATAATCAAGTCTCCTAAGTACAGAGAAAAACAAACAAGACAAAATTCTTGTTTAGATTGCTAAATTGGCTAGAAGTATCGTATTTTTCATTCCCTCTTTTGCCCTTGCTAACAAGATATCAACGGAACGTGAGCTTTTAGTCCAGGCTGAACTTAATGTGGTCATTTCAAATCCTGAAATACTGTTCTCTGCTTTCTGAGTGTTACAGCTTGTCCATATGATATCACAAGGGACTAAGGTTACATTCAGACCCATTCTGGAAATACTTGATGGAGAAAAGTCAGAGTATTAACCACATGAATAAATGTGAAAATAAAGAAAATATCAGCTATGAAGATTGTCGAAAGATGGTAGAAAAATAAAGATCAGTGTAAGTCTCTGCATCCCCAAAATTAATTGCTTTGAAAGACGACCTCAATTTGGGCATGAAAGTTTTCAGACATTTGCTCTAAAAATAATATTCATTGCTTTATAATCAACCTTTATACTTCATGAATACAGGGATTATCTTAATTAGTTTTGTAATGTTCACACTGCCAAACGAGCAGCAGATAGATACTCAGTAAACTGCCATTGAGTGGACCGACGGCTCCTGTTTGGGGAAAGGGCTGAGAACAGAGGGAGAAGGGGGAAATTTCTGAGAAGAGTCAAAACCTCATCTCCCAGGTGATCATATGTCCTGCAGCTCCTAAAACAGTTTCGACTTCAAATATTCTGATCTTATTACTGTTATAAAAATACAGAGAACTGTCAAATATTCATCCAGATTTTCAGATTCCTGCCCCACTGATCTGCTCACATCTCTCTGGTGTCATCCTATGGAAGACAGGGAGGCCAGACGGTCATCTAACCTTCAAAAGTCTTAAGAAGCTGTATGAACATGGGTATGAAATGGGAATTTATATGTGTATACTGCATAAGAGCTAAATCTTTGAGCAAAAAGGTCTTTGTGACATCCATATATTCATAAGCACTTGATAAGGCAACAAATGTTTTTGTAAGAACACATGTTTAAAACCATATTTACAGTAAAAATAAATACATAAAAGAGTTGGGATGTTTATATAAACTTAAATGAAATTTATAGTTTCAAAAGGTTATCTCTTGGTACCCTGGTTTCTACTCTCTAGTTTTCCATCCTTGAAACCATCCCCATTCCTGGAGATAGTAGTGAATATTTTATTGCCTTTTCCTTCTCTCCTCAAGCTTAAACCTCCTTCCCATTTCACTCCTAGCCCATAGCAAAATCTATAGAAAATATTAATGTCAGCCATTTCACTGTAGTTAAGCTACAGAAAGTATGTGCTATGACACATGATGAAACAAGCCACCAGTGTTTCACCAGCGATCTATTTATAGCTACTTTCTTGTCTCCCTGATAGAGTGCTGTTGAATGAAACATTCAACCCCCCAAAATTCAAAGTAATGCTTTCAATCTCAGCATGTTCTCTTGGAGAGAGAAAACAACAGAAAATTCCTTGTTTGACTAACCCCACTCCTCCCATCCACAATACCCCCTCAAGTAAAAGACATCATATTAGAGTTGCACTTTTGTCTATGGGGAAAAGCTCCGTATCATGACCCGAAGTCAGGAAGGCTTTGGCACATTTTATGGATATAAACAAAATGTCAAACTGGCTTTAAATCCATAAGAAGAGACCAGCAGGCAGAATTTACTTTCTCCTGGCTTAGAGCTCTTTTCACTTTTATTTCAAGTTCTTCCTAATGAGTCTTAGACTTTAAAACTGTCTAACCAAGAAGGACACAGCTGGGGCCGGGGCCAAGGCCAGGTCCATCAACACTGTTGGGAGTGGTCAGTGTTACAGGCCGAGAGGCATCTCCAACCTCGTCTGAAATTTCCTGTGACCACTGAGAATATACCCACAGTTGGCTAGTAGTTCTAAAGCAGAAATGAACAAATTTTTTATATAAGGAAAACTGTGGCTCTAGGGTAAGGATTCTGTCCAACAGCCAAAATAC